ATGCACCCAGGATTGTTGTGTGTGTCAACCCTATACCCAGAAAATGTAAGTTCCCTTTACATTGCATGTGATTTTAGGAGTGAGGGGATGTTCTGTGCCACACTCATGTACTTACACACAACCTGCGTGCACCCCTACACACACACACACACACACACACACACACACGAGTGTCTGATGACTGGAAGTCTACAATTTGAATTGTATTCCTTTAAGTACAAACATCAACTATAAGATGAACAAGGTCTGAGGATCTTATGTAAACATGGTGTTTATAGCTGATAACATTGTATTGTATAATTGAACTTTGCTAAGAGGGTAGAACCTAAATGTTCTCTCGCACACAGAAAAAGATAATCATGAGAGGTTAATTAAACAGATGGTGGAAATACTTCCACAATGCATATGTATATCAAATAACCACGGTGTACACTTTAAATATCTTACCATTTTAGGGGCGCCTGCGTGGCTCAATTGGTTAAGCGCCCAACTCTTGGTTTTGGCTCAGGTCATGATCTCAGGGTTGTGAGATGGAGCCCCGTGTCAGGCTCTGCACTCATCGGGGAGGCTGCTTGAGATTCTCTCTCTCCCTCTGCCCCTCCACCCCTAAAATAAATAAATAAAATCTTTTTTAAAAATAAAAAAATAAAGATCTCACAATTTTATATGTTAATTATACCTCAGTAAAGCTGAAATAAAACAAAAATCAGAAAAACCAAGTAAACAAACAACAAAAGATAGAATTATATTTCTTTAGCCTAAGCCCTTTGTTCTTGGTAAACTGCTAAGGACCTTGGAGCTTCAGGTTCTAGGCATTTTGGCGAGGAGAAGCTGGGAAAGAGGACCTGAGGGTTTTGGGGGGGCTCCACAGTGGTGGTGCTTTGTGGAAGCCCCACCAAGGGGTGGGGTTGAGGTAAGAGTGTCCAGAGCAGAGAGAAAAGGGATTTGCTTTACAAATCAGTGAACGGCCTGCTAGCTCTGCATTTTGGGTTTTTTTTAAAACTGGAAGCTATCTTGTTTTTAACAATATGTCATAAAGCCTTCAAGAAGTTATTGTACAGGGGCACCTGGCTCACTTGGTAGAGCATGCGACTCTTGATCTGGGGGTTGTGAGTTCGAGCCCCATGTTGGGCATAGAGCCTACTAAAAAAACAAAAATACATAATACATACTTTAAAAAGAAGATGTTACTGTACAATTTATGATGGAGATGCCTGCTCCTTGGAACCTGAGGGAACTGTACCCGATCTTGGGGTGTGGGTATCGTTTTGTGTGTATGTTTGAATTGCATCTTCTGAACAGAGTCCATAGCTTTCATCAGAATCATAAAGAGGTCCTGAGGAATGGGAGCCCGAGACCTAGCAATGTAGCCTGAGCCTCTGAAGCCGTTGAGGGTCAGTGGCGCTCTCACCAGCCCGCTGGGGTACGGGCGCTAGGACAGGTCCGCTGGCTCTCGCACCTGCCTGCCCACCCCAGACCTTGGAGGGCCCTCTGCCATCACGTGAGCACCATCCTTCAAAGGTCTTTGTGTCCCCTTTGGGTTTAAAACAAAAGCTCAGGAGCGCCTCGGGTGGCTCGGTCAGTCGAGCGTCTGACTTCGGCGGGGCTTGTGATCTTGGGGTCCTGGGATCCAGCCCCGCGTCGGGCTCCCTGCTCGGTGCGGAGTCTGCTTGTCCCTCTCCCTCTGCCCCTTCCCCCTGTGCGTGCTCTCTCTTTCAAATAAATAAATACAGTCTTTAGAAGAAAAAAGGAAAGTGAACATTTTTTCTGACCATAAAAGGAGAAACTTAGAAAATACAGAAAAACAGAGTGAAGAAAATACAAATCAATCATAATCCTACTAAAGAATTAACCACTGTAAACATTTTGAGGTGTTCCCTTCCAGATTTTCTCTTCTTCTTCTGTATTTTTAAGACAGAGTTGAGATCGTAGTATGTCTATGAACAGAGCCCCTTTTCACTTAACATGACATCATAATCATCTCGCCTGCCATTAAAAAGTCTTCATTAGCATCACGTTCCTCGGCTTCACAATTATTCCATTATATGGCTTCCATACCCGTTCTTCTATCATTGGGCATTTGCATTGTTCCTAGCTTTTTGCTTTAATAAATAATTCAGTGAAAAGCCTCTTTGGGCAACAAGCCATGCTTACATCTTAGATTATTTCTTTCTGGTAGATTCCTAGAAGTCTCCTTTGTGCTTTGTAGGTATCGCGAGTTAAGATGTTGCCGAGACCCATCTGGGAAGTGTGGATATTGCTAAGGAGCGCAGGCCGTGAGATGGGGCCAAGCAACAACATCCACTGGGTGCTGTGGGCACAGCGGAGGCTTACGAAATGAGAGCCAGTCTAGGTCTTTGAGGACTTCATCGTGTAGTGCAGAGCCACAACACACATAAATAGCCTAACGGAAGAGATACTTGATCTCAGAACGTTGGGGGAGCCATGCATGAGTTTCAGAATGGGAGAGGGGTTTTTATGTGTATTCGTATTGCACTTTCTGGAGAAGGAGCTTTCAACAGAGTCTTTTCATCTATACAGCTGTAAGGAATTCCCTATTTAGTGATGGTTTTGGGTGTGTGGATGGGAAGTCAATTAATTTTCCCTATTTTTTCTTTTGCTATTTTATAGTTTTTTTATGATAGAAAAATAAGGCATGTGGGTGCCTCAGTCAGGCAAGCCTTGGATTTCGGCTCAGGTCCTGATCGCAGGGTCCCGGGATGGAGCCCCGCCTCGGGCTCTGCGCTCATTGGGGAATGTGCTTGTCCCTCTGCCCTTCCCCCCCACTTGTGCTCTCCCTCTCTCTCGCTCAAATAAATAAAATCTTTAAAAAAATAGGGAGTGTAATGGAAAGATAAGAAACTTCTCCTCATGTGCCATTAAGATGACAGAAAGAGTATACTAATATGACAGGCAGGGTCCTGGTTTGGGGGGGACCTTGAGGTAGGGCATAGGAGAGGCTACAGCCCCTACCCAGCAGGTGTGAGGCAGATTTTGGCAGCATTAGTCACCTGTCCCTGCAGTGACCTACCAATCCGTTTACATATAAATCTGCTCCTGCCAGCACGAGCGGGTGTTACATGAGCATAATGCCTACAGGATCATGTTATCAGAACATTATGTTTCGCAAGTGCATGGCACATTTGATAATAGAAACCAATGTTTCCTCATCCCTCTCCCAGAGCCTTAGTCCTCAACTGGTTGCTAAGAGTTAAAGGAGCTTCTTACTGATCATTCATGGTCATCAGAAAAGCCAGTCAGCTCTGCCAACATGGAAAGGGCAAGGAGATGTGGTCATTGTGTGGCTTCCAGGCCTTTCATTCAGGGTCAGAATTAAATGTGTGTGTGGAAATTGACAGCCGTCGATCGTATTTATTTTCCAAAATCTGTTCTGACCACGTCTGTTGTTTGGCTAGTTCTTCCACTGGGAAGATGAGAGGCACAGGCCAGATGGTGGCCTTGTCTAGGCATTTCCATGGGACAGACACCCACAGTTGCAAGGACCCCCCCAGAACCCTGTCTCAGCTCAGCTTGTTGTGAGATTTCATGGGTGCTGTCAAGTTCAATGCCCACAGTCAGGACAACTGGGAGGGGAGTGCGTGTCTCGTTGCTCCCTTTCCCTGGGGTATGCACCCCCATCTGTGGCTGGAGTGGACAGGTCCCCAGTTGGAGGGTCAATGTGCAGAGCATGACTAGACAAGAGAGACCAGCCATAGGCAGACACGTGCCCTGACTCAGAAGCTCCCCAGGTCTTTCCGCCTAGCAACCTTTAATCTGGTGTACTAACAAAATCCATGTAATTCTATTATTATTAACTGTTATTATTGTTATCATTATCGTTATTATTAAGTTCCAGTTGGCTGTCTCTACAGGTTCAGCTGAGTTGTTTTCCTTCCCTCACTCTTGGCTTCTACAGAATAGATCCCTCTCTCATTCCCTGTCACTCTTGTTTCCATTGATCCTTTGTTTTCTCCAGACCCAGAATCACTTAGTCTCCCAAAGGGCTTGAATCTACCTGTAATATATGCGCCCAGTACAGTCATCACATAAGCCTAATTGTCAGTTGGCCTCAGCTGCATTGGCCAAAAGCACCAAACCCCACCATGAGCCAGATGGAGGTCTGGGAGGAGCCAGCCACTGCCCACCCCTCAGATACAGGGAATACCCACTCTTCCCGTCAAGAGCGGGAAAACAGTAAGCAAACATATCTCTGACCACTGCCAGCCCTAATCCATAATGCCAAATAAACAAGCAGGATAACACTCCAAATATGATCCTTTGTTTGTGGTTGTAGGGGAGACAGCTAAAAGCTTAGACCTCCGGAGGATATCGTTAAGAAATTTCTTCCTCGTATTTAATCAGACTTGCCTTGGCTATGACTTAAGCTTGCATATTCTGGTTCTATCCAGACAGAGACACTCTTCTCTTCCCTACATATGATATTTCTAATAATACATCTTTAATACACTATGTTTTACATATAAAACATCTCATATGGAAGATAATTTTAATAAAACATTTTATATGTAAAAAGATGATATTGTATACTTCGATAGGACTTATATTTAAATGTTACCTTTATCAGTATTTTACAAGTAAAATATACTTGTGTAAAAAGTGTTATAGACTTAGAGACACGAAACATGAAATGAAGCGTTTTATATTATATACTGGCAAATATTTAAAAACCTGTCCAAAATATAGGCTATTTAAATATATTAAAAGGAGTCAGTATTTAAATCCGTGGTTTTAAATACTGACTCCTTTTAATAAGTCATTCGACTTAAATATTAAAATAATTACATGTGGGTTATATTACAAATATAATAGGGATTAGGTAACTTTTGCGTAAGTAACCGGGGCCACCAAACACCTTCGGTTGTCAAGAGGACTCTCAGATCGGGTCTGGTCCGCCCGGAGAGTTAGCGTGTGCGGGCCACAGCGCCCCCTACCGCTGCGCACACCCGCGCCCTCACGGCTGTCTTTGCTCCCGCCCGCAGGCATTGGCAAGAACGTCATCTGCGACCGCACGGCCACCCCGCTGGACGCCTTCCGCATGATGTCGGCCGCCCACTACTACCCCAAGCTCATGAGCATCATGGGCAACGTGCTGCGCTTCCTGCCGGCCTTCGTGCGCATGAAGCAGCTCATCGAGGAGGGCTACGTGGGCGAGCTGCTGGTGTGCGAGGTGCAGGTGCACAGCGGCAGCCTGCTGGGCAAGAAGTACAACTGGAGCTGCGACGACCTGATGGGCGGCGGCGGCCTGCACTCGGTGGGCACCTACATCATCGACCTGCTCACCTTCCTCACTGGCCAGAAGGCCGTCAAGGTCCACGGGCTGCTGAAGACCTTCGTGAAGCAGACCGACCACATCAAGGGCATCCGCCAGATCACCAGCGACGACTTCTGCACCTTCCAGATGGTGCTGGAGGGCGGGGTGTGCTGCACCGTCACCCTCAACTTCAACGTGCCCGGCGACTTCAAGCAGGACGTGACCGTGGTGGGCTCGGCCGGGCGCCTGCTAGCGGTGGGCACAGACCTGTACGGGCAGCGCAACGGCGCCCCACAGCAGGAGCTGCTGCTGCAGGACGCCACGCCCATCAGCAACTCCCTGCTGCCCGAGAAGGCCTTCAGCGACATCCCGTCGCCCTACCTGCGCGGCACCATCAAGATGATGCAGGCCGTGCGCCAGGCCTTCCAGGACCAGGACGACCGGCGCACGTGGGACGGGCGGCCGCTCACCATGGCCGCCACCTTCGATGACTGCCTGTACGCCCTGTGCGTGGTGGACACCATCAAGAGGTCCAGCCAGACGGGCGAGTGGCAGAACATTGCCATCATGACCGAGGAGCCCGAGCTGAGCCCCGCCTACCTGATCAGCGAGGCCATGCGACGCAGCAGGATGTCCCTGTACTGTTAGCGCAGGACTGGGGACCTGGGGGGGATGCAGGTGCTCCACGTGGAGCCCAGAGAGGGAGGGAAGGGGGGGGGGGGGGCAGAGGCGGCCTGGAGGAGTGCCCGGCGGGAAGGTGGAGAGGGGGCAGTGTGAGTAAGTGGCATCTGAGGAGGTGAATCCCAGCCCGGGTGAGGGGCACTGAGGAAGACTGTCGGCAGGCCGAGCTAGTAACAGCCTGGGAGTATTGGGGGGGGGGGCAGAGGGGCGCCTGCCATTCCTGATGTCATGCCTGCCGGCCATTTGCATGAAGGAGAAAGGCTTAGCTTCTGTTGCCCCTTATCATGAGAAGCAGAGAGGGCGTGCTTTCCTCCTCACCTCATCCACCCCCTTCACCTTGGCCTCCTTGGCAAGCCATAGTCTCCTGCCATCGGTGGGCAAGCTCAGTGGGTGTTGGCTCCCCAACCCCTGCCCCGCCCCGCACCGGCTGCACCTGCTTCTAGCAGGAGAAGGCACATCCCCATCTGTCCGCAGAAGCCTATTAGTCTGGGGAGAAGTAGGGGTACAGTGGGCTCATGAGAACATTCAAATTCCAGGAAGCCACTTAAAATGTCTGGAGGAAAGAGCACTTGGTAGCAAAGTGCACAGCGATCTTGATGGATTGGTGTTCCTCACAGGAAGCAGGAAGGAGTGTCTTCCCAATTGGTTCATTGCCTCTCGCCCGGCCTGAGATGGGGTAAGGGAGGGCCAGGAACAGCAAGTGAGCCAGAAGGAGAGCCCCAGAGCACACGGGGCCTGGAGACAGATGAGGCAGAGAATCCACTAGCCCTTTGGGTTTGCCAGCAATTAAAAAATTGCAAGGAGCCACCTTATACTACTACTTCGGGTGGGGTAGAACTGAGTGTAGGGGATCTTGCTACTGAAGTGTCGTTTTACGTGGCTCTCCGGCAGGGTCAAAGGCACAGCAGAAGTGGGTCTGACCACAGGCTCACTTGCTGGGGCCGCCCCCAGTGTTGCAGTGGGGATCTCCCAGCAGGTGGGAAGGTGAGCCAGCCCTGGATGGGCTTTGGGCTCCAACCCCCATGTCTCCTACAGAGCTGGTAAAGGACTTTTAGGAGATTCACCCAGCTTCGTGGATGTAAAAGGGAAGCCTTCAGTTCCACGCAGATAATAATCTTCTTCCCTTAAAAGAAAAAAAAGGTCAAGGCTCTTTTCCTTAGCTTTGACCTTTGCTTTTAAGATGCTGACACCTGCCAGTTTTTGAATAGGTATTAAACAAAAGGACAACCAGGAACATAATGTTCAGTGTTTCTAATATGGGGTTTTAGAGCTCTCAGGGGTGTGTCTTCATGTAGGGTTGAGAAGGTTAATGTTGGAGAAAACCGTATTCTTCCTTTCCTTTGTCTCTTGTTTCTCTTGTCTTGTCACTCTCTGCTTCTAGAGCTTTTACTGGAGATGGTAGCTGCAGTCTTGGAGCAGGTAGTTCCAAAGGGAACAACTGAAGATACACACACACACACACACACACACACACACACACACACATGCACAAATTAAGGGTTGGTCAGTGTTCACCACCATCAAATGTCACTGAAACAGTTCTTAAAAATTCAGACCTTTCTCGAAAGAAACACCAAGTTAAACAGCTTGAAAACAGGGGATTAACCTTTTCCTAATCCTTCATTCCGCATCGACGTTTGTCAGGCTTGGATGCAGAGACCATTGCTTGTAAATCTACATGGCTCTTCTTTACAGGTCACAGAAATCCAAAAGTTGTCTCTGGCACACAGCTGAGGTGTCGACATCTCTTCAGGTGACTGGTGGTAGAATCGGAAGGGAATTTAAGGGGCCGTGAGACTGCCCCCCTCACCCCCCTGCCGCCCCCTGCCAGGATCCCAGGCTCTGAGGAGGCAGAATCTGAAAATGAACAGAATAGTCCGTTGTATCATCCATCCTCCTTCCAGGATCGATACACACTGCGTCACCCCTGGCTGCCCGTGGGTGCAGGGTGGGCATGCCCAAACCCCACGGGAATGTTGGTCATTTTCTAGCACAGAGGAAGAAGGATTGCCTTCCCGGAAAGAGTCACCCTACTTCCTGGGGGCCCCATTGCAACCTGGCTAGGTTAGTCAGCTGACACTCTCCGGGGTACGTGATGTTCCCTGACATCACGACTTCGTAACGAGCATGCCGGCTTTTGTGGCTGTCAATTCAAAACTAGACATTTAGTAGAAGGAACGAGTCCCAGTAATAGTTTGGGCAGAGGGCTGTGCAGTGGACTGTTTGGGTTCAGGTTCTCCTAAATTGCCCTCTGGGTAAATAACTCTTGTAGACACTGAGTGGAAAGAATTTTTTTCCCTATCTAGCCCAAAAGCCTGTGATTAAGGATGAAGGGAGAGGGAACTAGATGATTCTATGGGTCTCATTTTCCTAAGTCGTTTATAATCTAAGTAGGGCTGTTCCAGGGGTTTCAATTTTATGTTTCTGTACTTAACCAAAAGACTTGGGAAATTGTTTTGTTTTGTTTTGTTTTTTTCTTTCAAAGGCTTCTGAGTTCTGTGATAAATATTCAGTGTCTAAAACAAAAAATTCTCATTTGGGGCTAGGGTATATAGAAAGAAAAGATATATTCTTTTTTTTTTTTAAAGATTTTATTTATTTATTTGAGAGAGAGAGAGAATGAGAGACAGAGAGCATGAGAGGGAAGAGGGTCAGAGGGAGAAGCAGACTCCCCGCTGAGCAGGGAGCCCGACGTGGGACTCAGTCCCGGGACTCCAGGATCGTGACCTGAGCCGAAGGCAGCCGCTTAACCGACTGAGCCACCCAGGCGCCCAAGAAAAGATATATTCTTGAAGCATGAAAAATATTTTAGTAAGCACTCAAATTTTATTTACTGAAGTGCATGTAGTAGGTAGATGCAGGAAGGAGAGGAACTAAGTAGTTCATTTGTAAATACAAAACTTATAGGAAATGAGTTTAAGATACTTCTTTAGTGCTCCTTTTTGCCCCTGGACGACCACTTGCAAAGCCTTGATTGAGAGCCATAATAGGGAGCTGAGATGTCAGGCTTTCGACAAAGCCTCCTTCGGGCAAAGCCCAGCACCTCCTAGTGTGCTCGGGGGACTGGATACCATTGGGCAACTGTGACCCAGGACGAGGCCCCCGCAGCAATCCAGCCTCTTTCCGTTCTGGTTACGGTGTTTCAAAGACCCTGTGTAGAGGAGGCACCATTTTAGGGTCTTCACATTTAGTCTCTATTGCTTGATTTGTGTGGATGCCTCTGGTCCTGGAAATTTGGGCTCATGCTCCTGGCTGCTCATGCTACTGGTTGAGAGAGGTTGGAGGTCAGTGGTTCTTACCTGGTATTCGCACATGTTTGGAATGCTCTGGGCTTACTTGGAAAGTTTGGATTCTCATGAGTTTGCTTGAGTCCATGACCACTGTCCGCTCTTGCATGATTTCTCCTCTCAATGGGAGACACAGTGCAGGGTACCACACATGCTCCCTGCCTCCCCGGTGGCGATTATCTGTGGGTCGGGTGTATCTGGACTCTCTAGGGACAGTCTTGGCTGACTCCAAGACAAACTTCTCCCGGACCCCTTCTCCATCGACAGAGAGCCACCAAGTACCCTCTGTGCGCTAACATTTCTCGATCATCCACTGTGTGCAGGGTATTTTAGGTAAATTATGTCATTGAATCCCCCCAATGACCCTGTGGTATTAGGTATTGTTCTTCCCATGACACACATTAGAAAATCAAGGCTCTTACGGGAAGAGTAGCTTGCCCAAAGTCACACAACTATTAGGCAGAAGTGGAGTCCCCTGAAGTCAAAACTTTTCTTCTCCAAACCACGTGGCCTCCTGAGAAGAAAGACTTGTACCCCTGCCGTTCTTGCCAGGAAGGAGGGCACTCCTTGTTGAGCACTGAGGGGGCCTCTCTTGCCATTCCGCGGAGCCTCCCGTGACTCATGCTGAATGTGACCTGCCTGAGCCTCTCCCCAACTGCTGTCCACATCCTCCTGTTGAGCAGGATCCCACATTTGATGGTGTGGCAGAAGGTTCCTTATAGAACTGCAAATAGAAGCAGTTGATTTTTCTTCCCCTTCCAAAATGGAAATGGCACTCCGCTTCTTTTAAAATCGACTTCCTAAGTTGATTCTGATCGGAGGTGATGCAGGAAACCACAGAGTTGGGACTTTTCAAGACACCATTGGCCCACTATTACAGGTGGCCTTGGATTTCGCTCTGGGTGGTCTAACAATAGGAAAATGTCTTCTCAGGGAGTGGGGCTTTTAGAGGTCATTTGTTTGTGACTCCGATTTACCTGTGCATTTTATTCATACCTCTACACTCTCAACTCTCCTTACCTCCTCTTCTTACCCAACTGTTGAATTTGAGCTGGGTCATAAAGTAGGTGTCGGGTGGCATCGTTTTTCTTCCGGTGGATATGGGGCTTAGATTTCAGCATGCTGGGGGACATCCTGGGGAGAAAGCAGCTCTGGTGGCATCTGAAGGGACTCCAGAGCCCAGTGTCTTCACATCCTTTATTTTATATCCCAGAGAAGTTAAGTGATGGCAGAGGTCACACTGCTTCTTAGGGGTAGAACCAGGACTAGAAGCCCCACGTTTCAAGTCCCACCTTGCCACACACAGCACCTTCAGAGCCCTCAGCTGGGGACAGGGAGGCGGAGGGGTGCAGTGGCCTGTCTGAGGTCCCGTGGCTAGTTCGCGGAGGAGTCAGGATTAGGACTCAGACCTGCAACTGACTATTCCCTGAGCTACTGTGGGTAAATCCATGTTTTAGCAACTCAATTATGTCTCCAGTATACTCGGAAACTAGCTGGTTGTTTTTTGGGTTTTTTTTTTTTTTTTAAGATTTCTTATTTTTTTATTTGACACAGAGAGAGAGACAGCAAGAGAGAGAACACAAGCAGGGGGAGTGGGAGAGGGAGAAGCAGGCTTCCTGCGGAGCAGGGAGCCCGATGCAGGGCTCGATCCCAGGGCCCTGGGATCGTGACCTGAGCCGAAGGCAGACGCCTAACGACTGAACCACCCGGGTGCCCCAGAAACTAGCTGTTTTAAATTTCCCAATGTGATTTTCATGTGAACAGTTTTCTGTAGTTTGTATTGTATTTGGCAAGGATGGGGGACACACGTTTCGATGTCCATCTTTGGGATTTCCTAAGGCCAGCTCTGCTAAGGTCCCCCCGGCCCCCTGCCCATGCCCACTCCTCTCCGAGACACAGATCCAGGCCTTGGCTGCCTTATGATGCCTGCTCCACCTGCTGCCTCCTTTCTTGGGCCATCAAAGCCCCGAAGTTACCAGGGCAGAGACCATGACAATGGGGAGCTCATTAAAAAGAAACTATCAGAGCCCCGAATTTCAGGTTTCTTTTGCGGACAGGGAGGAGGGCAATGGCAGGAGAACTGGCTGTGTCTGCAGCGTGGAGTGAGTCCTGACCAGCGGCTGGCACGCCCCACCTGCCCTGCCCCATCCTAGGCAGAGAAGCGGGCTGATGGCAGTCCTCTGAGCCCCAGGGGACAACCCTGACTGAGTCAGGCTCCCAGCACCTCCCACAAGAGAAGTGAAGGCTTCCCGGGCTGCTATGAGAGTTGATGGGCTCGGTGGCCTCTCAGAGTCTGGAGGCGAGGCTGCTCTTGTATCTGAGTGACCACATCCATTAGCCGTGGAAGGCGGTGGCCGACTGGCCTTTCTCTTCCCCATGTCACAGGCCCTATTGGCCAGAACCCTTGAGAGGGCCGCCGAAGCATCTAGCTCTCAGTCAGGCTATGGAAGTGTTGCACTACTGAATGCTCTCAAATCTGTTGTACTCTTCTTTTTGTTTAAGCCAGCGGTGAGCAGAGTGATAACAAGACCGTGTCGTATGCAGTAGCTCTATGCTTAGTGCCGCATCAAAAGCTCGCCTGGGCCAGTGTGGGCAGGGCCTGCAGAAGAACCCTAGCATCATGCTGCTTCTCTCATTCGCTGTCCCGAACTCTGCTGTCCCCTGCAGCCGTCACAAGGGCTGAGTGGCTGAATGAGCCCCATGACTTCTCCTTACATGAGTTACCTGTGATTCCAGTCCAATCCCAAGTTAAGCAACAAAACAAAAGCAAGTGACCTGACCAGCTACTTTCCTCCCCTCCTTCTCCTTCAGGCATCCAGACATATCTAAACATACTTAGTATTGTGCCCTGTGCCTTGCCCAGGGGAGGGAGAAGTTTCTAGTGATTATGGCTTTCTGTTTGCTGCCTGGTGCTTTTATAGTACTAGTACTACTACTACTACTACTACTACTACTACTACTACTACTACTACTTCTTCTTCTTCTTCCTTCTTCCTTCTTCCTTCTTCCTCTTCCTCTTCCTCTTCCTCTTCTTCTTCTTCTTCTTCTTCTTCTTCTTCTTCTTCTTCTTCTTCTTCTTCCTCCTCCTCCTCCTCCTCCTTTTCTTTTTTTTTAACCAAAATTACATTTGTTTGGTTGTCATTGTCAAGTATATATTTATTGTGTTTTACAAACATGAGTGTATATATATATGTATGTATATGTATAAAACCAAACTTATATATAAAAAGTCAAGGCATGTATACTAGATATTTTAAAGAGTTATTTATCAAGGGAAAAAGATGTGTGTTATAAAGTAAACAGAGTCTATATTTTATATATAATGTAGATAGCAAAAAAATAGCTTATAAATTATAGAAGGTTTTGGTTTTCTTTTTTATTATTAAAGCAAAAAAAGAAAAAGAAAACAAGGACAATGAATGCAACTGTTTTTAGTGTTTTTAAGGCCAAACCTACTGTGGGAGGTGACCTTCCCTGCTGGGCCCCTTGGCCATGC